AACAGAGGATTATTCCTCTGAAAATTCCCCAATTGTCGGTCAGCACCAATCACAGCTTCCTGCTGGTTCCCTCCGAGTACTCCAGCCAACATTCCCAATGCTTCAGCAAGAGCATCGTCGTTTCTTCCGTTACCTCTTCCGGCCATTGTTCTGTAACATTTACAAAACAACCTCATCAGCACATAAGTATCGACAGTGTCATCTTACACTAGTCGCATACAAAAGGGATAACGACACAAGACAAGACCGACTATGCTTTGATACCACTATTGTAACACCCCTTCTAAATAACCCGCGAATATATTAATTAAATCAGAGTAACATGGAAAATAGGGATGTCACAATCCAAGATAAATATAAAAACCTCAAATCTACAATTATCATGCTTTACTGAAGGAATTATTAAGATAAATATTCAAATCAATATCATGTTCTACACAGCGGAAATGTCTCAAGACCGGAATAACTTCACTTCATAAGTATTCCCAACATAAATTAAACAATATAGTATAAAATAAAACTCATCATTCAAACGTTTCCCCCAGTGTTACAACCTATCAGAGCACGACACTGACACGCGGACTTAAAGTAACATAGCTCTAGAGCCATCCTCACCAACTCCTGAGCTGCTAACTTTAATCTGAAATTGTTAAAGTAAGGGTGAGATTTCTCATAATTAACATGCATTATAAGCTTCTCAATCAACATTATATCACAAGCATATTATTTCACCCATTTTAGCATAAATTCAGATTCAACACACAGTTCCAATCATACAAGTCATTATGCACAAATCAATAATCAACCAAAGAATTGTAACACTGGAAGACATCCTAACATGTTACAATTCCATGCAAACACAAATGCAGACACAATGCATGTGGTACCAACACGTGACCAAGTCACCCAACACTGATCCATCATCAACCGGATACAGCAACCATCGATTCGTCCATAAACACCCGGACACGAATCCAGCCTAACCACCCATCATCACCCGGGTATCGGTTAACGGCAATACAAGTCAAATTCCACATAATGGGAATTAACTTCACCAAAACAATGCATATGCATGCACATCACCAGCATGCAACATCAAATCAGTCTATGAAATACATCAATTTATCATAACTGAACCAAAACCAAAAACATGATATCTCAACGATCATGCACACCATCATTAGCAACATAAACATGCTTTTCATTCACACAATATTAATACATCCATCCATCACAGGTTCACTGTTACATACACACTCATGTGCGTTAGCCAATAATCACTTATTCCGGGATTTGACTCATTTTCAAATTAATTTCAGGTTTTAGGAAATATTTTCATTTTATAAAATAGAGCATTAAATTTAAGAAATAACGTCCAAAACGGCACTCAAAACAGACTTACGGTTTGAAAGTTATGAATTTTCAAAGTTTAATATTTTTCAAAAAGTTACAGCAGAACCCGGTTCCTACATATACAGGAACCGGTTCCTGCGAAGCTCAAAAATCACCCTTCTGGAAAATGTATGGGAACCCGGTTCCTACCTATACAGGAACCGGTTCCTACGTGCAATTTTGCCAGTTTTTATAACTTCGCACAGTGGAACCCAGTTCCTCTCCACTGGGAACCGGTTCCTGCGACCACCTGTAGCAGAAACTCCAATTCTGTTGACAACAGGTTGTTCATGATTCAATTCCAACATTCCATTACGAATGACCACATCAATTAACACCAGAATTACCCAAGTAACATCAACATAATGTCAAATAACACAATTCAACCATTCCTAACAATCATATATCATGCAATTGGTTCAATTCCACACAATTTGACAACATTAGGGACAAATTCTACAAACCTAGAACATCCTAAATTGAGATTCCTAACATGCTTAATCAATTCTATTGATCCCAAAATCTATAAGGCATAGTAATTAATCGAAATCACCCCTTACCTCGCGATGATCCTCCGAATTCACGGTGTTTGGCTTTTTCCTCTCTTCTCTTCTCTTCTCCAATTTCACGTACAATGACTTTTTCCAAATAACCTTCTTTTTCTTTTCCTTTTATTATTTGCCAAATAATAGTAATAAATTAGTTATTATTTAGTAGAGCTTTTTACTTCACACCCCTCTATTTCAACCTTACACCCATCGGTCTTCCTTTTTAATTTCATAATTAATTCATCCATTTAATCCAAAATATTATTAATTAAGCCTTTAATTAATTTAATAATTAAATTCCTAATTATTTAACACATGAATTAATTTGGGGTGTCACAGTAACCAATCTATACCAATTCATATATTGGTGAGTTGGTTTTATTTTGCATGGCGCGATTGAGTATTGTAGGACATGTTGGTGTCGCCTCTTCCACATCTGACGCTTTTCTATAGCGAAGTCTTTCCAACTTCTAACATTCCATTGCTGGTTGACTCCACGGAGATGCCATTGGCCCAAACACGTAGGGGTCTGGGATTTCTTGATGTATTCCAAACTGTAGTTTGACACGGTCACTATGATGCATCTCCACAATATTGTACCATAATATAGCCATTTTTACAGTCCAAACAACGTTGTCTTCGGGGCTGGGTTCACATTGCAGACCTATATACGGTCTCTAAATAAATTGTAGAGGAATTTTTTATATTATATTACTTACAAGACGGTTAACATTAAAAATAAAAATACTTAGAAGATGAATAGTTTAGTGGTAATACGCCCTCTGGTCGAAGGTGATCCAAAATTTGGCGATACATCAAGATATTTTCTCTAGGATTTTTTTTACTGTAATCCATCCCTCTTACAAAATTCTATGTACAAATGGGGTGTGTATGTTTAGGCTGACAACATCATAAATGAAGAGAAGTAATTCTTGGGTGATAGGTTTTATTTCTCAAGACCACACTTGCTTACCACCAATATGTCCCAAGATCATCATAAACTAAACTATGATCTTATATTGCAAGAAATCTTACATTTGGTAAGCAATGATTCGTCATTGAAGGTGAGTACAATAATCTCCCATATCGTTACATCATACAATTATACTCCCTCGTACATAAAGGTGTGGTTAGCAAGGACAAGGGCGATTTAACTTGTATACGGAAACTGGGAGGAATCATACAAACAACTTTCGCGCTACTTGCATGCGCTTCACACTTATGCTCCTGGAATTGTTTCTTGTATGGAGACACTTCTAGCGTATGCCCCAGACGGAACGTGTGTCCATGGAAATGGTATATTCCATCAACTATTCTGGGCGATTCAACCTTGCATCACAGGACTTGTATTCTGCAAACTGATTATTCAAATAGATAGAACTTGGTTGTACGTGAAATATAAAGGAACGCTACTGATGGAAGTCACACAAGATGGAAACTGTAATATTTTTCTGATTGCATTCGCTCTGGTCGAATGAGAAACTGATAGTGGCTGAAGTTTATTTCTCAAGAATCTCTGAACACACGTATAGAGAAGGTGAGAAGAGGTGTGAAAAACAGTGGAGGATGGGGATTTTATTTATAGAAAAAGACCATAACACATAGGAGCCATTTTGTATGACTCCTTTTCAGATATGCTGCACATAGGAGCCACATGTGGTGGCGCATTACTTTTCAGATACACATAGGTGCCATTTTCCATAACGTGCTCACCTAATTTTAACACATAGACCCTATGTGAGGTGGCGCCAACACTATTTTTCAATTTCAAACCTAGTTATTCAGGTAAATATTTTGAAATTTTGATTATTTGCATAATTAACTTGAAAAAAATAGTTATTGTAGAAAATTTTTCTAATGGTTATGTTGAAAAAAAGGAGAATAAGTTAGATCTTTTATCACTCATTAGACTTAGAACTACTAATCATCAGTTGTTTTGAAGTCTAAAGTTTTGAATTTTAAGTTATTTTTAGCTTTAGTTTTTAGCTTTTTTTTCAACAAGTTTAAATGTTTGAATTTGAAAAATTTTATTTGTAGTTTTTATTTATGTAGTTTTTATTTGTGTAACATGTTTTATTTTATACATTAATATTTATTTTATCTGTAAAGCTTCCGCTTTTTATCAGCTACGCTTTTCACTATTTCTCATGTCGGCGTTTTTGGTGATTCACTATTTTTTTACGACCCACCACTATTAACAACACTATGCTCTCGATATTATTTTTGAATTTCCAAGTCATGTTCATGACAAAGTTAGGCTGCACATTTACTTGGATTTCGATGAAGACACATTAAGTACGCACTCAAGTAAAAGTGTTAGTGCAAGTGTTCTTAGGACATTGTTTAAAAAACTAAAAGAAGTAACTTTGTATAAAAAAGTGATGGGTTTATTACTTTGACATGTAATTTTTGGCTTATATTTTTAAGACCAAATTTGTTTTTGTGATTTCTTTAAACAATTTATTTAGAGAGTTTGTTAGCACAACTCTTAGAAAAAGAGTAGTCTTATTTGAATATCTAAAATTTGGCATTATATTCCATCACCAGAAAAATATACTTATTTACAGTCATTGATAAAAAATTTCTTTGAGTAGAGTCACGTAAGAAAGCATGTTATATGCTTGATAGAGTTTCAACTAACTCAGCAACTAACACCCTTAAAAAATCCTAGCCAGCAAAGTTTTCTTCTTTTGAGGATTTGATTGAAATTTGATTTGAAAGATTATCTAATGATGATCACAGCAGTGATGAAGAGTTACTGCTCCGATGGAGGTCGCATGTGAGGAGAGGCGGGGTCTCGGCCACATACCTGCAAACAAGTTGCTTTTGTACAATATGAACCTTTTCATTGGGGAAATTCAATCTAATTCCTACAAGTTGCTTTTGTACTTCCTGACAGAAGGAATCAGTCTAATTCCTACAACAAAATGCTTCTGTACTTCCTGACAGAAGGAAATTAGCGAAAAAGAAAGAATAGAGATTACTTAAAATTCCTAGTGTGTTAATGTCAACAAGTTCTCACAAGAGTATATCTTCTATATTACTGTGTTAGTGGCACATTCATACAGATACATAGCTCATTGATGGGGATGCCATAAAGCGAGATGTGGTTGTACGAAAAGATCTCTCAAGAGGATCAAACTCCGTGCCATCTGCTACACCACCAGTGCTCTTAGACACGCTGAGCTTTTGCATAAAAGATACAAGAGAGTCCACTATTTCAGACATTGGAGGCCGGAATTCCTTTACAGGCTGTGTCATAGATACAATTTATTTGCAAACCCAAGTAAAGGGGTTAAAGAATTCATTTCGAAGTACCAAAATTGTAAGTAAGAGAGAATCATGATTGACATTAAGAGGTAAGTCATACCTGAGTACACAAGGAGATGATATCAGCATAACGAGAAAGAGCCTTTGATGAAAATGTTCTTTTAATTGCCGGATCCACCATTTGCTCCAAACTCTCGCTATCATGAAGCCTCAATGAAGCCCAATTTGCTAGATATTGCTCTTCCTTTGGCATAAAACTGTATTGCAAGAATACAGAATCCTTCAACAACCTTGGATGAGGAAACAATTGAAATTGCAGCAAGATGGATCAAAATCATACCTTTCAAACGGTTTTCTTCCTGATAACAGCTCCAAAAGCAACACCCCAAAGGCAAAGACATCACTCTTTGTGTTGCTAACTCCTGGTTGGCCATGGTCTGGTGAATTGTACCCAGTATCTCTAATAGAAATCTCAGAAGCCTGTTCTTAACAGATCATAGTTAGTGACCCTATCTATCTCCATGTATAGTTAGATTATTATTCAATTTCTGATTCATTTTGCAATGGTTACTTTATAATTAGTCAGTAGAGAGGGAACCTATATTATTTTAGTCAACTATCTCAGGCGCGGCTTTCAGCTAGACTAGTGCAACATAAGTAACAAGAACAAGAGACAAAAAACATTATCTTGATTCTGTAACTGTGGCTCAATCAAACAATTTTATTGCAAACTTACCCGAATTTTAGCTGTAGTGTTGGTCAGTGGCTTAAAAATAGCCAAGCCACAGTCAGAAACACGAGGAATCAGATTTTCGTCTAGTAAAATATTGGCAGCTTTCAAGTTGCCATGGGCAACAGGAGGAGAGAATGTGGAGTGCAGATAGCTGCAAATATTTTTGTCTGTCACATTTAAGAGTTGAGGCAAGAAACAAATCGAAATAACAAATTGGAACTTACTCCAGAGCTTGTGCAACACCTAGAGAAATTCGGAGACGAAGACCCCAGGATAAAGGTTTGTATGCTGCACTGTGTAGAGCATTGTCTAGGGTTAAATTTCTGACATAATCATAGACAAGAAGATGTTGGCCGTGCTCCAAACAGTAACCTTTAAGGGCAACAATATTGGGGTGCTTCAGACGGGAAGCTGTACAAACCACGTCTAAGAACTTTTCCTCTTCACTGAAAGATAAGCCTGCCATTTGGATGTTCTTCACAACCAAAACCTTTAAAAAAAGAAGAAATAAGTTGTAAATTACAAGCAATATTTTTGAAATCTTAACTAGCTTTACTGTTTAAGAGGTAGCTTAAAATTACACCTTGTTATCTGGAAACTCAGCTCTGTAAACAGAGCCAAGAGAGCCGACTCCCAGAAGGTTGTCTTCACTGAAGCTGTTAGTAACCAACTGAAGCTCAGCTACTGTGTAAACCTTCGTCCTTCCAGTGAATTTGTCTCTTTCAGAAAAACTTCTTCTTGACGTTTCCCCCTTTCTTTTATGGTTCTGGGAAGGTAACCGCCTTGGATGCAAAAGGGATGCAGCATTGAAAGGTGGGATTTGCAGCATATCATCTTGTGCCGCATAAGAGACCTCTATTCACCATAAAAATCAAGAGGTGAAGAAATCATGGATAAAGATGGAAATGAACTAACAGGAAAAGTAAATGAAATGGCATCCTGACATATATACAATGAAGAAATGGATTGAAAGTGACATATATTAAACATTTGAAAGGGGTTGGTGAAATAATTTTGTGAAAACTGATAATGTATCTCAAAAGGATTCATGCTTAGGTGCATATTTATTTTATACCACTTCACATTCAGCAACTCAGTTTTCACTCCTATCAAGGACCCAAAAGTTTTCAGCTGGTTCTCACAGAAGAAGTGTAATTTTAATGTTAAATCTATTTAAGGAATGGACGGATTTTTGAATTAAAATGTCTAACCTTTGGCTGCACCGATTGGATGAGAAGGAAATGGATGTGAAGGAAATGAATGAATAGAAAATGGACTATGGTCATTGCTTTCGAAGAAGAAGTTCTTCAATTTTTGCATGTGAAATTTATTCATGCCGATTGCAATGAAGAGCGCCAATCCTGTTACCAATAATGTCCCCCCACCAACTATAAAAGCTATTCCTCCAAGGCCCATTTTCTTCTTCTGTTGTTTTCTTACTTTAGTAGGAGCATAATTCTCGATGGCATTTGCTTGGGTTGTGGGTGGGCGACTAGTATTGTGTTCAACTGGTACAGCGTCCAAAGGAAAGCCCCAAGGAGGAGTGCCGTCCACTGCATGGAACATATTGCTACCAATCCTAATGGAAAGTACAGGATTTTATGTGTTAATTATTTCATATCCAACAAAGAAACTGCATGTGATCAAGAATACTAACCATAAGTTTGGTATGGACTGAAAGTGTTGTGGAAGAATGCCACTAAACAAGTTTTCTTGAATGTTCCTGACAAAACAAATAAATTAAAAAAATAATGGTAGTGTATGTAAACGTGAAAAATAAATGTGGACATAACCTACAAATAAATGAGCGGAAGCTCCCCCAGGTACGTGACAGATCCAGTAAATCTATTATTCTGCAGGAACCTGCAAGTAAGTATCACATTAAATGTACAACTAGTATGACCCTTGATGTAGTAATTGTAAAAGTTCTGTCTCAGAATAAGACGGATTACAAATCAAGTAAAGGAAGCAGGGTGAGGGGTGTATGAAAGAAGAAACTTACAATTTCTCAAGGTTCATCAAGGAACCAAATGAACTTGGCAGATCTCCTGTGAAATTATTGTAAGAAAGGTCCCTGATGAAAAGAAGAAATCATCCTCTCTGACTTGGAAGACTAAGATTTGTACATAATAATTAAAACATCAACAGTTTTTTTGTTTCACTTTCTCATGACGTGATCTAATTTTCATTGTATTGTCTAATCAGAATGCTTCCCACAAGCTTACAGATCATTTATTTTCTTTTCCAAAACAGCATCCTTTTCTTGTTTCTCAAGTCTAAACAATACAATGTATTTCCAACAAAAAGTGACGACTATGTTTGTGCTATCTGGATTTTGGTATCATTTTATATATTATAGCATAATATATCAACACATACTACTCTTTCCATTATGACTGATTAAAAATTGAGAAGGTTTAGATTGGCTTCAGTTTTTGCTCTTACCTATCCCGAAAATTAAAAAATTAGTAATGCCCAGAAAACACATTTCTATGAAAATGGTTTAGGTTAAGTACCTAACATATCTTACTCATTGGTGAAGTCTTTCATTTATTAACATTGAAATTCAAAAAGCAAAAGTCTCAAGTGAAGAAGACATACATTTCCTTGAGATTATCTAAGCCAGTGAAGACATTACCAATTGGCCCATACATGAAGTTGTGGCTTAAATTCCTGCAAGACATAAGTGTCAATTCAACTGCCATTTTCGAAACGCAATAACTATATCATACTCAAAATTGAAGCAGCTCGCCTTTCAAGCTTGGACCAAAATCAATAAGAATGTAACTCACAGATGTCTTAATTTTTTCATGTTTGATAATGAATAAGGGATATTCTGGCTCAAATAGTTGCAGGCCATGTTTCTGCCATAAAGAAGGATCATCAGAAAAAACTCACTGCTATAGATTCCGGTAAAATTAAGATCATCAGAAAAGCAGGCTTACATATGTGTGGCATTTGGGGGTAATCCGTATGGTATTTCACCCATTATGCTGTTGGAACTGATATCACTAGAAAACCAGAATGGAATTGAAGTTAACCAATCAGAATGGGAAGTAAATCATATCTTGACAATATAGTGAATCAACCATCCGGATAAGAACTTCAAACATAAAATTACTTACAATATCTTCAAACTTTGTAGATTATACAGCGAGGATCCAAGATATCCGGTGAGGTTCAATCCTTGAATTTTGCTGCAGGAGGACAGAGAGAGCAAGTATAAGGTTTGTCAGTTGCATTATGGGGGATAGATTAGTGATATTATCTGACCAGAAAAAATCGTAATTTTTAGAGCATATAGGTGCACTTGACGTGGTATATTTTATACGATCACTATTTAAAATCTCGATTATCAGTAGAATAGGTGCATATACAGATGTATAACTGAGGACTCAGAACAAGCTACTCCTGTCCAATACTCCTCACAAGGATCACCACCGTTCCATCCGTGCAGCCCTTGAGGGTTGTTTAAGCTCCTGTATAGATCCTGGAGGGCTGTGACTGTATATAAAAAAATTTCAAACAATATTTAGCTTAGTTATTAAAGCATAAAAATGATGTATATGCTTCAAGTGTGTTCTATAACAAAATTAGTTCAATTTAATTTGAAGTGATTGTCAAGCATGGAATTTAGTTTTGTTTTTCCAAGGTACAAATTTAACCCTCATAAATACATGAACTTTCTAAATCTATCACATCTTTAATTCATCTCTATATCAATTTAGCATTAAAACAGTAATGTCCTACTTTGCTGCACCCTAGTTATAGAACTACTGACAAAATCAACTACTTGCTACGAACACCGGAAACTCGACGCTGACACTGACACATCAAATCAATAGTAATTTGAAAAAATTAATTAATTAATCATAATTACAAGCATCTATGTCGATTTCAGACACGGACACTGAAACAGACACATCTTTTTTCAGAGATGTTAGTGCTACATAGCTATACGTAATCCTAATAGCATATTGTTCTTCAATGTTATCTTGAAAGTGGATTCAATTCAAAGATATCGCAAAACATAGTTCTCAACCGTTCTAGAAATCCTCGCAACGGCATAACAACTGCATTTTTCCGCAATATCAAGGTTTACTGAACAACTGTAACCGAATGCAATTTAGAAACTGTATATTTAATCGATTTTGCATGCATTAACCTATTTCAAAAGCAACTAACTATCCAAACGCAAATCTATGAATTTAATCACTTTTCAACTATTGATTATTCAAGTAAAAAAAAAATCAAACAGTTACCGTCAAGTGGATTGGTGTATGCCAAGCTCTGAGAAATCAAAATTACTGAGAACACAACGAAGATGAGATTCACGTAATGAACCATTTTCTTCGTAGTTTTTCGCCAAAAATGAAACGGAATCGAATCGATGAAGAAGAAGAGAGAAACGAAATCACGATTACAAAGAGAAATGTAATCTCCGTGAGGCTCTTCTCTCTGAGTGTTTCTTGAAGTTTTTGAAAAGTGAAGGTTGATTCGTTATGGGTAGTTTGTTTTGGCGCGAAATGTGTAACGGATAGGTGGAGCAATCAGATGCATTCGGGTCTATACAAGAATACGTGCTCCCCAACACTTTGGGTTGGGATGAAGGGTGATGATTGCAAGTAGATGTGATATAATAGTAAACTGATGTATAATCCAAACAATGATCCTATTGCATTTTTGCATTTGTAAGTATGTGATATATAGGATGATTAAAAATACAAGTATGTGATATGTAGGATGATTAAAAAAGTTGTCTAAGTAAAAAGAAAAAATTAGAATTTAATTAGAATACACTCACAATGTAAAGATATTTTACAACGTTAGTAAATCATAACTGTTAGATTATAAATTATATTTGACTTTTATTTTAATTATTTATTAAATAATATTAATAGATGGTTGTGATATACTGACAATATAAATTTTTTTATACTGATATTACATATAGAATTATTATGTTTAGTGATGAACCAATCTATATTACATAAACAATTTTAAATCAAATTAAATAGTAAATAAATTGAACCGAACTAAAATAAAAATGAAAAAATATTAAAAACAAATCAAATATTTTTATTAATAAGAAAAATAAGCTATAAAATGTTTTTATGTGTAATATGCATATACAAATTCATTTAAAATTATAATTTGTTTAAATAATATTGAAACATGTTTAATATTTTATTTTTTAAATAATATTCGAACATATTTAAATGTTCAATTTCTTAAAATAATATTTAAACACATTAAAATATTTAATTTTTTTAATAATACTCAATTTCCTATAATTTTAAATATTTTAAACGGTTTGTAATTTTTAATTTGTATGAGCTTTTATCTAAACATCCAATTTTAAAATGTCTTAAGAGCCTTTATTATGAAAAAAAAAACATTTAAATGTGAAACTTCTTTAAATTTTGTTTTGTATGTTTTAATACATATAGACTAACATTGCAAAATAGCCATGTAATAGATATATAATATTGGTGGAGTATAATACACATCAGAGTAATGGATCAGTTGGTAGAACCTTCAGTAGTATGCATGAAGTGTCCTTAGGCTCGGATCTCTCCTAGATTAATTATTAGAAAGTGATCTGACCTGATCAGAAGGTTTGGACCGTCACGGCTGCTCCGAGCTGAAGGCTTTTGAACGAGGAGGGGGGGTACCTGCAAGGCACTCCGATGCTTAAGTCAGTGGGAGTACTAGCAGATAATAGAGTTGAGGTTAGAATTGAAGATTACCTGACCCTCTGGAAGCAGAGGGTATTTATAGCCCCCAGCGCTGGGCCAAGGTTCCTTCACTGGGCCGGGCGGATTTGGCCCAATGGAGGAACTGCCAGGTCCTACGTGGGTAGTGGGGATCAGCACGTGGTCCCCTCCCTGGATGTGGTGCGTGAAGTGCGGGCGGACAGAGACGCGGTCTTTACGGAGTATCGTTGGGGCAATGGTGACTGAGTCTGCCCTAGCAAGGTAGCTTGAGTCCATGTCGAGCAGTGCAGCGTGATGTCGAGCTCGGTGCCAAGACCCCGAGCTGGACAGCGAATGTCGAGATGGAAACCAGGGCATAGAGCTGGACGGCAGTCTGTCGAGCGTGACTTCGTCGTGTGGGCTGGCACACTGGGATGTCGAGGTGGACATCATGGTGTCGGGCATGGACGTTGTGGTCCTTAGTGAGTCCCATTGGATTGGGCCTTTGCCCATTGTGGTCCTTAGCGAGTCCCATTGGACTGGGCCTTAGTAATGCTTTTGGGCCTGTCGGGCCCAGTCCAGAACAGGAGCCCCCCAAGTCGTGGTTCCTTTGCGAGGAGCCATGACTTGAAACCAAGTTGTTCAGTCGCTGAGGTCTCGTGCCCGGAATGGAGGCGCGGGCCCTCGAGGGGCCTCCTCGTGTCGTGCTCGGGGACGTCCTCGGTGGTGGAGGCGCGGAGGATCCGTACCGGGCACGTTGGTCGGGCACGCGAGGCATCTTTTGGGAATTGTGCCGCCACCCTAGGGGGGTAGGGCCATCATTGCGTTGGGTGCAGTGCGTCGAGGAGACGGAGTCCGTGGCTAAACGAGGTGACGTTTGGTATTCCACGTCATCACTATAAATAGGGTCCTTGGGCCCCATAATACGCTTTCCATTCTTCGTGCTCTCTTCGTTGCAACTCTCAACACTCTCTCCAGCCGTGACTTCCCGTCTCAAATTCTTCATTTCCCAGCCGAATCCCATCTTTGATCCAAGTAAGTGATCCACTTTCTTTATTTTCTTGTTTTAGAATGCATGATTCTAGGAAACTGTGGATGTTTTAGGACCGTTAAAGTGGGATTAGCCCGGTAAACTCGTGTTTTGCCCGACATATTTACGTCTAGGACCGGCGAATGCATACTTATGGCCGACACGTTCTTAGTTTTAGGTGAAAACTTCAGAGCTGCCCGGGGTGTTCATGATCCTGGGCGCCTGATTCATGCTGGTGCCCGGTATGTTTATGGTCGTGGCCGTGGGCTTCATAATGCGGCTCGCCATGTTCATACCCCGGAGCGACATGCTTGAAGAGTGGCCGCGCGGTTGGTTTGTGGAGGAACTCTGGATTCGGGAGAGTCGGGGAGGCATCCACTTGTGAAAATGGACTCGTGATAGTGTATGGACGACATGATTATGTCGAGCATAGGGCTTCATGCTCAATCTGATTGGTTTCCCGTGCTCTGCAGGTAACCATGGCGGATGAGCCGAGCTCCTCAGGTCGTCATGACAGCGAAGAACAAAGTGCCGACGAGTCGGCCAACCTTATCGACACGGTGACCGACCCGTCGCTGGAATGGGTGGGCGCCGAGCCTCGGGGGACGGCGTCGATATACAGTCGGGATGACCGACACCCGTTCATCGCCATTGAAGGGGGGCAGGACCAGCCCGACTTTCAACCGAATTTCGAGGTCATGCTGCCTGCGACCACTGCCAGAATCTGCTCGATGTACCCGGATTACAGTTTTGCGATGTACGAGATCGCCTTTAAGGACTTGGGTTTGCGGCTGCCCTTCACAGATTTTGAGACCGGGGTTTTTACGCATCTGGAGCTGGCCCCGTCCCAGCTACACCCTAACTCTCTCGCCTTCATCCGGGCGTTTGAGCTGACGTGCCGCTACTTAAGGATAGGGGCGACCATACCCCTCTTCTTTAGGGTCTTCCACCTACAGCGCCAGTCCCGGGGAGGGAAGCACAGCTGGGTGTCCTTGAAGCAGTCGAGGAGACTGTTTAGGATGTATATGGATTCTGTGAGGGGGTTCAAGGATAAGTGGTATGTGGTACACCCTATCACTGATTCTGCTGTGGATTCCCTCTACGAGGAGGAAGGGCCGGTCAGCGATGACGATGGGGAAGCATTGTTGAACGATGACGGGAGCCCCGTGCTAGGACGTCGGGCTAAGTTCCCGGTGTATTGGATGCCCCGACACTTCGAGCACGGAACAGGCCATTTCCACACTGCAGTCGGGGACATGTGCACGGAGGATCAACGGGCGTATGCGGCTCTCTGTAACTTTGTCGACGGTTTTCATCCCGCCCAGTGGGTTACACGGGAGGGGAATGACATCCTCGACAAGGACGGTTACCCGATATTCGAGGCTCGCCCGATTGATACCAAGGCGTTGGTGGAATGCTCGACCTATAGGGAGGCAGCCCGCCTGTTAGGTTGTTTGTTTGAAATTCTTGACTCGTCATTTATTTACGCGTTTTGCTCGATACTGACTTTTCTTTTACTTCGTGCAGGTACGATGGCCAGCCGACACGAGAGGCTCCTGAAACTGTCGACCGGCCATAGGCGAAACAAGAAGGTCGTCCCGGGCCCTCAGATGACGAGAATGGGTCCACCGACAAATCTGAATGCTTCTCAGCCTGTGAGGGTGGATTCGACCTCGAGCTCGGGGGCGGCGTCAGATCCAGATGTCGAAGTCATTGATGCCGAAGCCGTTCTGACACAAAGGAAGAGGACCCGCGTGGAAGGCGGTCCAACTGTCGGGGAAGATACCGGTCCCGTTCAATCCTTTGCCTTTCCCCCCTGCATCGAGGAGGAGGGTTTTTTCGAGCGGTTTCCCCCGACCGTGGTCGCGCATGAAGCTGAGGCCATAAAAAGGATGACCAAAGAGGAGAGGCGGTCGCGGCTGGTCGCCAGCGTGGACGGGCTGGTTAAAATGGCTGAAATGGCTCTGGTATTGTCTGAAGACGCAGGGGACGCTGCTCGTGTCGAAGAGCTCGAGCGGGAGAAGGCAGCCTTGACGGCGAGCTCAAGGAAGTTGAAGGTCGCTCTGGAACGCTCTGAGGGGATGTTCCAAGAGCAGACCGTGATACTTGACGCCGAGAGGGAGGCGCTGACCTTGGAGAGAGAGAAGTCGGGGCGGTTGACCGAGGAAGGGGAGTTGCTCCGGGCCGATAGGGATCGTTTGGCTGCTGAAGTCGAACGCATGGGCAAGCAGGTCGAGGAACTGAATGCTGCTCAACAACCCGCCGAAGATGAGCCCGAGGACTTAATGGCTTTGAAGAGTCGGGCTGAGTTTATTGCGCATATTCGGAACCTCGAGGAGGACGCAGTCGGTGCCCTGGAAGACGGGTTCAATTCTGCCGTCGACCAGCTCTCGTTGCTAAATCCCGGCTTGGTCACCGAGGGTATCGGGCACACTCATCGGGTTGTCGGTGGCGCGATCATTCCCCCGCCCGACTCTCCCTGCGTCGACAGTGGTGATAACACGGAAGTTTGATTTGTATTTTTTGGTTGGTGGGCCTGCGTGCCTGATATTTGAATTTGTATTCTTTGGGCCTGCGTGCCCGTTTATTTCATGTATGAACATCGCCGGCCTTCTTGGTCG